CAAAGCTTTCCAAACAAACGAAGGTTCTGACTCTTTAAGAATGTTTTATTACATCCATGACATGTGCTCATTAAGAACAAAGTAGGAAGAAGAAAAATAAAAACAAAACAAAAATTCTTGATGACACTTCCTTTTGAAAACCTGTGCTGTTGAGGACCACCTGCAGGAGCAGCTTCAGTGTCAGTGACATGCCCTTTGAATCTGAGACCTGGCCAGAAATGAGCTGCATTCTCTGTCCCTTCAGAATAGAAGATGGTCATCCTGTTTCCCAATCTCCTGAGGGTAAAATTTCTTGTTTTAATAGCTAAGACAGGAGAGACAACTATTCTCTGTGTTGGGAATAACATACAAATGGTTCCACGACTACCCAACCAAAGTAAGATCCAAAGCAATTGGGGATGGTTCTGTGAACCTTACCAGTCTTGTGCATGACAGGGAGCCCTCAGTGCCTGGGAAGGGGACAGGGGTGCCAATGTGGCCCGAGGTACAGGCAGACAAATCCTGTAAGTGACATCTAGACGGCGCTGGGAACATAATGTCATGAATAAAGATGACCCCGCATCTCCGAGCTGTGCATTTTAAGATTAATATTTCTCAATAGTACCCGTCAGAGTGAGTGGCAGTGGAATCCGTAATAAGTACTTTATTGAATCATATGTGGTTTAAAGATAAATGTAAAAAGGGACCATGAATTCTCATGTCAAATTATGTCTCCCAGAAGTTAATTAGTTGTGTCACGATTCAAAAACGAATTCTTTTTAATTTGGCAAAATACAAATTAAAAAGATTTGTGTTTCTGACAATTCAATCAAAAGATTCTTTCAATTAATGAAAAATTTTTTTAGAGTAGTTTTAGGTTCACAGTAAAGTTGAGTGGAAAATAGAAAGTTTCTCTACACCCATCCCTGTCCGCGTGGAGCTGCCCTGCTGTCCACACTGCGTCAGAGCCGCGTCCGCATCAGTCAGTGGACACACAAGGCCTCCTCACTGTGCCCCAGTCCACGGTTCACCTTGGGGCTCACTCTCGGTCCTGTGTGCCCATTCGTCTCACTGTTACTGGGTTAGAGACCCTCCCTGTGAGTCTGTGGAACCGCCTTTGTCAGACCTTTCTTTTCTTCTAACGCGCATTGGCAATGCTGTCGGCTTCCCTCTTAGACCTGCTTTTTTTTTTTTTTTGCTGAATCCTACAGTTTTGACAAGATGCATTTTTATCTTCATTTAGTTCAAAGCATTTTAAAAATTCTTTCAAAGTTCTCCTTCGACTCATGTGTTATCTTGCAGCGTGCTATTTCCTCTCCAACAGCTTTGGGTTTTCCAGCTATCTTTCTGTTACTCTAGTTTACTCCCGTCGTGGTCTGAGAGTAGACATTGCATGACTTCTCCTCTTTTGAATTTGTCAGTGTGTGCTTTGTGTCCTGGAATGTGGACTCTGCTGGTCAACATTTCCCGTGAGCTTGAGGAGAACGTGGCTTCCTCTGCTCTTGGATGACGTGATCTGCGGATGTCAGTTATGCCCAGTTGATAGATGTACAGCTCAGTTCAGCTACATTCTTCTGCCTGCTGGATTTCTCCCATTCCGACTGATGGTGAGAAACTAATGTGACTCCATTTTTTAAAAAAATAAATAAACAACAGCAGCTTCTACCTCAAGGCCTGTCCTAAGGAAGGGGGCATGACCCTTGTCCTTGGAAAAACCCACAGAGCACTCCTAAGTACATACCCACCCTGCTGAGTTGTTTGTAAATAACAGGAGAGGTCTGAGAAGCCAGGTGTCCCTGATTCAGTCAAGCTAGGTGAGGACCCATGGCAACCCCCCTAGCAACCTCCAATCAGCATGAGACAGGGAAAATACCTGGGATGCCAGATGACCTTCCCAGTAGTTTATGGTGGTTGATAACATGTTGGGAAACCATGTAGTTTAGCACGTACACCCCTCGTGGCCTAAACCAATCAGTTCAAACGAACCCCTCTTGTACTAACCAATCACCCCTACCCAACTTGTTCCTGCCAGTAAATGTGCTAATCAATGTTAAGAGATGTTGTTTGATTTTCCCACGGTATGGAATGATTTGCTGTACGATGTTGTGACGCATAGAGCATCCCCCCAAACCTATAAAATCTCACTGAACAAAGGACCGGGACTCACTCCCTGGGGACCACTGCGGTGGGAATGGTTGTGAGTCCAGGCTCAAGCTTGCAATAAAGACTCATGTGTGCTTGCATTGGATTCGGCTCCTGGAGGTCTATTGGGATCCCAGGAATCTGGCATAGCAATGAGTGTCACCTGTTTCTCCTGCAATCCTACCAGGTTTTGCCTCAGTTATTTTTGATGCTAGGTTATCAGGCACATGCACATTAAGGATCTTTATGTCTTCTATTATTGGGTAATTCCCTTTTAATCCCTGACACTCTTCCTTGCTCTCAAGTCTAGTCTGTCTGAAATTAACATAGCAGCTCCACTTTCTTTTGAGAGTGTTAGGTATGATAACATCTCCATCCATTTATTTCTAATATATATGCATCTTTATATTTAAAATGTGTTTCTTATAAAAACATACAGTCTGTTTTCTGTAAGGTATATTTTCTGATCCACCACAAGCATCTCTGCTTCTAGCAGATGTACTCAGATCGCGGACACCTGCAGAGATTTTTTTTTTTTAAACCTGCAGCGATCTTCTGTGGCGTTCAATCAATCAATGTCCACATGTGTGCCATTTTCTATTGGTGGCCCTTGCTCTTAGTTCCTATTGGTCTCCTTTTTTATACCTTTTGTGGTTTAATTGAGAATTTTATATAATTGTGGTTTCCTTTTCTTGGCATATAAATTATACTTTAAAAAAACTTTTCTTGCTGATTGTTCTAGAGTTTAAACTACAGATCTATAACTGATTCACTTTCTTGCAATCCACTACACAAATTCACAGTAGTGTGAATACCCTGTGATGACAAGATATTTATAATCTTCCCTCCCTTTTCTGTATCACCGCTGTCAATCATTCACTAATATATAATTGATACATTGTTACTATTGTTATTTTTTAAAGTTCATTGCATTTATATCAATTAGGAATTTAAACACTTATTTCTTTTCTGATGCTCTTCCTTTCTTTACGTAGATTCAAGCTTCTGATCTTTGTCATTTTTATTCTCTCCAAAGAAATGCTTTTTACATTTCTCAAAAGGTGCTTCTTCCAGCAACAAATTCCCTTAATTTTTCTATGGTCGAGGTCTTTATTTCTCCTTCAATTTTAAAGGTCCATCTTACAAGGTATGAATTCTAGGCCAATGGGCTTTTTCTCTCATCACTTTAAATATTTCATTTGATTCTCTTCTTGCTTCTGTGGCTTCTAAGGAAAAATTGGATATCATTCTAATTTTTGATCCTCTATAAAGATAAGGTATTTTTTGTTTACTTCTGGTCTCTTCAGGATTTTATTTTTTATCTTTGCTAGGACACAGTTTGCATGTGGTATGCCTAAGCACAGGGTTTTGGCATTTACCTATTTGGTGTTCTCTAACCTTCTTGGATCTCTGTATCATTTGGTATCTAACACTAAATGTGTAGAAATTCTCAATCATCATTACCCACCATGGTCTGTTTTCTTTTAGGAAGTTTCTACTAAGACATTGTCAATCTCAGGATTATTCCGTCAGTCTACTAGTGAGCTGATCACTCTGTCCCAGGGTTCTTTATATAGCATTCTATTGCTAGAATTCCATCTCTCTGCTTCTGTTACCTGCCTGTTTTTCCAGGGCATCTCCTTTTCCTGTTAGATCTCTTAACATACTAATCATAGCTGTTTTCAATTCTTGGTTTGCAAATTCCAATATTCCTGCAATATCTGAATTGGCTTGATATTTGTTCAGTTCCTTCAAATTGCGATATTTTGCCCTTATTGTGCCCTTTAATTTTCTGTTGAGAGGTAGATTTGCTGTATTGAGTAAAGAAACTTTGTAAACACTCTTCAGCAATGCGCTGAGGGTGTGGGCCGGGTAGGGTTCTATGTCCTGTGCTTTCTGTTATTACAACAAATACCTGAAATCATCAGCTTATAGAGATAAAAGGTTTATCTTGGCTCACAGGTTTGGAGTTTTGTCCATGTCTTGGAGTTGGCTGCCTTGCTTCTGGGCTTGTGGTAAGGTGACACATCATGGTGGCTGCCCATGGCAAGAGCCATTTGCCTATTGGCCAGAATGCAAAAGAGAGGAAGAGTTCCTAGAACATGCTGGAAATTAATATCTTACTATTTCCGAGAACATATGGTGTAAGCATAATATCCATGTCTCAGTCCAGACACAGACATTTTCTGCCTTGGTTTAGAGACTAACCTTTGACTAAAAGGAAAAAATCGTGTGTCACAGAAAATGACCCAAGCTCACCCATTTTGGAATCCACTCTCAGTCCACAGACAACACTTCCGGGCTTGCTTGCCTGGAAATGGCGTCCTCCCTGGTCATTCCACAGGTCACTCCATTCCCTGCACAGACTCTGCCCAAGCCCTCGCCATGATTGGCAGCTGCTGCATTGGTAGCAAACCAGAGTGGGAGCTGGAAACCAAAACTGAGAGGTGGGCGGGAGAACAGGCGTGGAGTGACCTGCCGCCCTCCCCCAGAGGAGGCTGGGTTAGGGGAC